TCTCTTTTTCACTTGCACCATTTTTGTTACCTAGGTTAGCTTCTTTGCTTGAGAACCTCAAGAGTCATTTGATCCAATGAAGCTCATTTTTGAGCCTCTGAAAGACTAGATTTTGGATCAGAACTGGTCTGAGTAGCAGGATAATGAGATAATGATGTCAGGCTCCCAAATGCACAGCTGTCAAGGAAAATGAAAAGAAACCTCATAAATATTTCTTCACACAAAGAAGAAGATAAATTTCTGTTATCATCCCATTTCATTCTGTGACTCTTTCTCTGGACAGTGTAGCCACAGTTCACTTCTAAGAGCTTTAAGTAATGCATTGCATCAATCAAGCTTGATTCCACTTGCTTGGCAGTTTGCACAACTATTTGTACCTGCACAGATCAACAGTAAAATAGAGCCTGATCACAATTTACACATATTTACAGCACATATTTACAGCAGAGGAAAGTGCTTATTGCATGGAGATAAAGCACTGCAAGAGATGAGGATTGTTGAGAAGGAGTATACATACCAGAGGCTGCCTAAGTAAAGCCCATAGGTGAATTCCATAAAAACATGGAAAATATGAATGGTTGGTTAAAAACTCACTCGTACCTGACTCATACCTGTGACTTGGTAGAACCAGCTCCTAGAAATGCTGTTCTTGGGAGGCTATGGGCCAAGTTCCAAGCACTGCTAATGGGAAAATGGGCACAAGTGTTGGTGTTCAGCCTCCCTGGGTGCAGGATGGTCCTGCAGGACCACAGTGTCCGACTGCTGAGGAATGTGTCCTAAGTGCAGTCTCTCAAATTTTGAAAGTGGTGAAGTATTTTGATTTCTAATTAACAGCTAATGATTGGCAGAAGAGAAGCAGCATTACTTGGTGACCAGTGGCTAGTTGATACTGAGCTGTATGCTTACCTCTGTGAAGGTTTCCCTCCTTCAGCAGAAGAATCACAGAATCGTAGAGGTTGGAAGGGACCTCCAGAGATCATCGAGTCCAACCCCCCTGCCAAAGCAGGTTCCCTACACCAGGTTGCACAGGTAGGCATCCAGGCAGGTCTTGAACATCTCCAGAGAAGGAGACTCCACCACCCCCCTGGGCAGCCTGTTCCAGTGCTCCGTCACCTCACTGTACAGAAGTTCTTGTGCATTTGTGCAGAACTTCTTATGCTGCAGTTTCTGGCCGTTTCCCCTCTTCCTGTCTCCGCTCACTGCTGAAAACAGTCTGGACTTGCCACTCTGCCCCCAAGAATATTAATATCATTTTATCATGGACATTACATGAGGACAGTCTTTTCTCCAGTTCAACATGTAAAATCTACCTTCATGTTCTCCACACATACTCTGATGCAAATTTGCTTTCATTCAAGCAAATGAAATTGAGAGGGTAAATCCCATGCCTTTAAAACTCTCAGACTGGGCACTCAGCTATGCACTCTGCTTGCCAGAGGAACATTAACACCCTTGCCTTCCCCAGTATTTTCAGGAGCTTAGCACCTCAAAGAATGTTGCCATGTACTTTAATGATGCTTATATTTTAACGCTTAGACAAATTAAGCTGGGAATTTATGACCCTGGTGACTTGGCCAGAGCCCTCCAAGAAGCCTGAGAAAGTCATTGGACTGGATTCAGTTTTGTGACTGATTCCTTGTGCTTTACCACCAAAACCTCTCTTACTAGCAAACAGCACTGTAATGTTTTCCTTTCTTCTCTTCCTCTCAATCTTGATTCTTTAGCTCCAGTGTCTGGGAAGAGTGTGTGTGGGCTTGGAATTCTTCACTCTGAATATAAACAACACCTAAATGAAACCAGACTTTCTCATTACATTTTTTCTTTGCTCTTCACTACCACATAAATGCAGAGGTAATGGCATTGTGCAGCACAGAGCCTTTCATCCTGGCCAACATACAACTTGATTACTTCCATGGTTAGAGCATACACAAAATCCATCCTGCTAATAGAAACAAGTTCTAATCAGAAGGACTCTGAGTTGGTACATCTCTGCACCACTACCCCTCTCCTGCCTGCAGGATGCTCCATTCTGCCAACCTCCCTTTATCTTTCACAGGAAATTGCTATTCCAGATGTGACTGACCAAAATGGTGCAGTTTACTCTATTTGACATTAAAAAAAAAAATCTCTCTTTTTTTTTTTTTTTCTCCTTTCTCTATATCTGGTTCCTGCCCCCTCATTTCTCAGCTTCCATCGGCTGGGTTATTTCTGCAGAGGAGTCATGCAGCTTTCAGCTGCTGTTCTGTGAGAGCTCCTGCGTACTGGAGTGATGAGAGACAGCCTAAGAGCTTCCTTCATGCCCCCTCTCACCCTGAAACCTATTCCAGCAGCTCTCGGTAGTAATGAGCCTCCTGTGTGCCAGCAATAATAACAGGAATAGCAAAGATTTCAGGGAGATCTTAGAAGTCACAAGAGCCTCATTCAAAGGGGATTAAGGAGCAGAATTTGTGAAGTTTCATGAAAAGTACTCCAGAAAACAAGGCAAGGTAACATGAGCGCTTTCAAACTTCCTTGAGGAAATTGGAGACCACATGAAACTTGACAGGTTTTGGGTTTCATCACAGGCACAGGGTCACTGAAGAGTTCATACCCCTTCTCCTCTCAGGGTGAGCAGGGGGGTCCTGGGATGATACAATGGAAATAAATACATCTCATTAGCATTGCTTTTGCTTTTACGGAGTTTAGCACCTGCAGAATTTATATTGCTTGGCATTGGTAGGTTTTCATAGCCCATTTGTATGTGGTCCCTAGCCTTGCTTTGAATACACACGGGTTTTACATCAGCATTCCCTTTCATCCTGCACCCCAGTAAATTAAAGGGTGTTAGCGGCTCTTGGAGAGGAGATAAGATGCAGTTTGAATCAATGGAGTAATTACAGAAGAATATGATACTAATGGAGCTGATTTGAATGCGTATCTAAGGATGAATGCTATGGCTCTATGCCCAGACAGTGCACACTTTCCTCATGATGAGTTATTTATGACTTGACACATCGTTGCTCAGCTGTTTTGTGGCTCAGCAGCATTTGTGTCACTGATAAAGCAAACTCTGTCAATACTGTGTGTTCTTACTGATCCAGGCTTGGCTGCTAAGCAGCCTTCCCCTTTGCTGAAACTACAACCACTCCTCCCTGGCAGCAAGAGGAAGAGACAAGTTGACACTTGAGGGGGAGGGCATCCTGCTTTAGTAAAGAAGAAGAGCTGAGCTCAGGATGCATAAACGAGTACATGGCTTCCCAGGGACCATGTAAGAGTTTAGGACCATGCAAGTCTTGACTGCTGTCTCCATCAGAGAGCTGAGGTAAGATAAACCTAGCCAGGGAGACTAGACACACGCTAAGCTTGCACAGGAGCCTGGGTATCTACTTCCTACCACAAGGCTGTTTGTCCCCTATCAACCTTGGCAGCCTTCTGCTCCAGGTTCTTACGGCAGCTGAGCACAGAAGATTAACAAGATCCTAGCTCAGTTTTAATTGCCTCTTGGGACCAGTGTTTTCACTGAGCCTCCTCTGCACTGTATTGGTTTTGTGTTCATTTCAGGAGCCCAAGAGCTTGTCTCTAAAGAGCCTGATCCAGCAACAAACTGCTCATCAGCCCTTCAGGAGTCACTTTGTAGACTGTAGGACCTTAGTAGTGGGACACTGGCACAGGCAACTCAGAGAAGCTGTGGATGCCCCATCGCTGAGGTGATCAAGGCCAGATTGGATGGGACCCTGGGCAACCTGATCTGGTTAGGGGTACCCAGCCCACAGCAAGGGTTGAAACTGGATGGGCTTTATAAAGTCCCTTTCAACTTGAGCATTCCGTGCCTCTGATATGACTCTATGAACTTTGCATATAAAAAAAGACCAAGCTTTCTGTGAACATGATTGTGCATTGACCCAAAGTGTTCAATAAATTCAGAATGTAACAGATAATCTACTATGTGTATCATTAAAGATACATAATTGTATCCAGATATAGCAGACTGTACCAGGCTCTGAGCAACCCGATCTAGCTGTGGACATCCTTTCATTGCAGGAGGGTTGGACTAGCTGACCTTTAAAGGTCCTTTTCAGCTCAAATGATTCTATGATTCTATGACATTTTTGAGACCTTCTGAGACTGTGCCTTGTGGCATCAAATGTTTCTGACATGAAAATGCTTTCACTTCTGCTTTTCTTGTTTGTCCTGTAGCTATAGGTTAAGAACTATACCACCTAAAAGTACTATACTTAACATACCAGGGCTAGGTGATAACACAAAGCATATACGAATGGCAATAGCTTGACAGCAACTCACCAATGATGCGAGCATTCAACCTCCCTCCAAACAATATGTCTAAATAGTGATGTTTACGAAAGTCTTAATGGAAGCATTATCACTGCAGAATAAGTGTGCCAACAGTGGCAAATATAAACAAATGTTTTGGGCCATTAGTTCCTCTAATGAAACAACTAGGCACAGCTGGACCTAAGTGGTTGATGAGGTAGGTTCATCCCAAGAGGCTTTGTCATTGATTTCAGTGCCCGAGAATCAGACATAAAATGCTGTTTGGAATTCACAGGCCTCAGAAGGCTTCAGAATAGGCACAGGGAACTATTTTAGGTTAGGGATGCACACAAAGACTAAAATCCTTCCAGGAATAATAGCAGGTTCCTGTAATTTGGGCCCAGCTATGCATTTTGAATGTAGCCCTTTGCACCTTCTTGTCCAAATATAAGCAGCCACAGCTTTCCAGCTGCTCTGCTTGAATTAGTGCTTTTTTTGTAACTCTTTAATTAAGCAGGAAAATGCTGCAGCAATAGCAGAAGGGACCCTGAAACAACGCACCAACAAAATGTTGCCTTCTCTTGGAACAGCACATCCTTTTCACCTGTACACATCGATAGCTGCCTCTAGTCCTGACATTTTACAAGCTCTAAGAAGAGAAACTAAGCAAAGGTAAGAGAGTCCTATGAATTCACCATTCGTAGGAACCAACCCCATAAGTGTTTGGACATGTTCACCTTTTCTGGAAGTCTTCCTAGGCAGATCTTGTTCCAGTGTTAAGCCCAGCTCTTCCACTGCTTCCACTAACCTGTCTGAAAGCTCTTCTGTCTGCTGATATCCTCCTCTGTGGGCCTGCTTCCTTTTATAGGCCAAAGCTTCTTGGTTCCAGCTGCCTCTGCTGGGAAGTTATGTGGCCTTCAAAAGGTTAAAAGCAAATGTAAATATCGTACTGCAAAAATAGTTTCAGTTCTGCTTTCTCTATTGAACCTTAAAACCCAAGTGAACTTCAGTCCTTCCCGTAGCCTATTTCTCCACTCTCTGGGGTACATACACAAGATTTTTTTTATTCCAGTTTGTCTGCAATTATTCAATCAGACGTTCCACAGACATTTATCTCTTTGACAGAAGCATCTAATATTCATTGCGCTGATCCTGTTACATACAGCCTACACCCTTTGCAGTTTTTCTTAATTGTGGCATTTGCAAATGAATAATTAGAAACACAACAGCTACTACAAAAAGAAAGAACAGAAAATCACGCACACACACAAAAAACAGCAGAAGAGATTGTTCTTGTTTCAGCCAAATATAATAATGCATAATATTTGGAATGTTGCAGTCTCATAATTTCCAAGACAAGTCTGTTTCCACTGTGCAAGAATTCTGCAGTTTATCATCTAGCTTGCTCAACAGAAAAGCATGTGAAATGAAGTACTAAATCTTGAGATCCTTTCTGGTCTGAAATCGTGCACAGCTTCAGAGAGGAAGCAGCGGCAGTTCCTTCTTTTGTGAAGTTCAAACAATGAACTCAAGGAGTAAATGAAAATTATTTATCCTGGGCCATCGTCCACTGGCAGAAGATTAATGGTGTTGTCCCATGAGAAGAAGTGAGTCTTTTTGCATGTGACTGAGTGAAACAGAGTAGTATTTAAAGTACAGAAATGGCCACAAGTTGATACATGAGTAGATGCATAGTTGAGGTAGAAGGACAGGAGGAGAATACTCCTGTGCCCACAAAATCCCTTCTGAAAGCCTTGGTAACTGTTGAAACACCTCTTGACCATCTCTTGAAATACCCTTTGAAATATTCATTGCTGGAGACTGGTATTTCCAAGCACCTTTCTCTAGCTTAGAAATGTTGTGCAAAACAGTTTCACCTTGAAATTCCTCTCCTTCTCTTGGCTTTCACCTTGCCAAGGTTTATCCGGCCCAACCTCAACAGCTGAAGTCATCCACCATCACAGTGTGCTGGGACATTCCCTCAGGCTCTTTCCAAATACAGCTGGGCCTTTTCTCCCTGCTCAAATTAAGCTGTTCCAGCTCAGAAGTCTACAGTTCATATCCTTCAGTTCTGTGCTCCTGGCTGTGGACTGACCATGGTGGGCTGGGTCCCTCTTGCTCATGGTTTCTTGCAGATGGACTGAAAGCAACTGATTACTCCCCTAACCTCTTCTGTTACTTCCCTTAATCTCTGGATTGCTTTTTTTTTTTCTTTTCTCCTTGCATGATTTCAGTATTACTTGCTCCAGAGGGAATAATCATTGATAGAAATGTCCATGTCCAGGAATTCCTCTTTGGTTCCTGGTTGTGACTTGCTGGTGCTTTCTTTGGCCTTTTCTCATCAGGATGAAATCAAAGCTGCTTGTATGATGGGAAAGGACAGGAGAGGGCTTGTGTGCCTCAGGGCAGCTCTGTTCTCCCACCACACCACAGCTCATTCAGTAGAAGCTGGTACCTCTCAGAGCAAGACATAGCAGCTGCTCTGCCTTTCTTCTTATGTGGTCTGATGGTGACAGCTCAAGGAGGAATGGCTTTGAAGTAAAAGAGAGGAGATCTAGGCTAGATCTTAGGAATATTTTATTTTACTCAGAGGCAGTATTTCTGGAGAGCTTTCCTGTTTCCAGGCGGATTTGTCTTCTCCACAGGAGGATTTTCCCAGTGGGCTTCACTTGCACGTGTTGGGAAGAAAACTGACACAAGGAGATTTCTATTAAACCATTCTTGCAGCTCCCCAGGCTAGTGTAATTTAGCATTTTCTCAGAAATAATAGTAACACTTATATCATTTTTCATCATCATTAGTTTTGCTTGTGGAATTGCTTTGCAGAGAAACACCCTGGATACAAGTGCTGGTTGAATCCCATTGTGTTGGTTCCCTTCACCATCATTTTATTAACAAATGCTGCCAGCAACGGAGAGGGGCATGATTTTCCAGCAAAATCAGCAGAATCACATGTGCGGAGCATGGGATAATTTCTCAGTAAGATCTGCCTGGTTAGGTCTGAAACTCCAAGAGGGAGGAATGCGTGTATTCATATATAAAGGAGCATCTGGAGCCCAGCTTGCTTTAGTGCTGTTCCTAGGAGACTTATGCTGGGTGCTAGACAAAGCTATGATCATTTTTGTAGTTTGCACTGACGTTACAAAGCAGTGTCTCATTTAGCTCACATGGGCATGTAACGAGAGGAGCTATGCCAGGGCAAGGCATTAGAGGAATAAGTCTCCACAATCTAGCATAATGAGTTTATTTTCTAATGTAGTGCTTGAGATTTTAACCTAGCCTCTGCTCTCATACCTCCTGCAGTAGGTGGGTCTGGCCCCTTAGTCCTTTCCCACACACTTTGCTTTCCTCTTCCCTGAGCCTGCATTTCATCTTTTATTTCTTAATGTTGCTCTTTGAACTACCCTTGTTTCACAACAGCTGTAAAACCTAACCTTCCCTTCAAAATACTTTAGCAAAGCTATGTAATATGTAATGAGAAATACTAAGGGCAGATGTGGCACTGAGGTACATGGGTTAGTAGGCATGGTGGTGGTGGTGGGCTGATGGTTGGATTAGATGATCTTAGTGGTCTTTTCCAACCTTAATGATTCTATAATTCTATGTTATGCTTAATCAGGGCATCTGGAGTGCTAGGATTCCTGGTGTGCTGAGAGCCACCAGCTTGGCAAGGTGTGACTGGCAGTGCTGCTCCTTGGGATGCCACCAAAAGAGACCAAAAAAATGCATGTTCAGGACTGATGAGCTCCGGGAGGTGTTTTAGCGCGTGGCTCTAAGGTCAGTGGTAGTTGGCTTGACCATGATGATGGAGTGCTCTTGTAGGAAGGGAAGGGATGAGACAGAAATGCAGAGTAGTGCGAGCCTCCTAATTCAGTGGGAAGGCAAAGGTGGAACGGAAAGAGAAACTCCCTTATGCTAAAAAACTGCAAATGAGGCAGTGTGGGAGACGACCAAAACCAGTCCTGACTCTGCATCCTCTCCCAGTCCTTCCAAAGACGTTTGGACACAAGCAGCATGGAGACCTGAATATGTACTTTGAAATTTCAATTCTTTATTCACTCCTCCAAAGAAAAAGTATAAATCTTATCTGAAATTATTTCTGTTTTTAATAAAGATTTGTTTGTCAAACAAAACAAATGAACAAAAAAGCCAAGACAAAAAACTTTGATTAGCCCTGCTAAAATTATTAATAGTCATATGTACATCCATGAATTCTAATCCATAACACAGTTTCCAGCAGTATTATTGTTTGATACCAGTATGGATGTTTCAGGTCCCTTCCAACATTTCTTGTTTGTACCATAAAATGCAGTGTGGCACCTGCTAACCTCTAGAAACAGCCAATTGCAATGATGCTGGTGATTTTCTGTAAATGATTGGTTCAGAGGCTTTTAATGCATTTTGGACCTCAGTCATTATGGATTTCTGGAGATGGCAAAGGGTAATAAGATAATGGATATGTATTTTCCACTGCTGTGCTTCACTCATTTTGCCAGTCTCCTCTGTGCAGGTGGAACTGGAGGGCATGTATCCAAAACAGTTACACTGCACTTCAGTTTGTGCATGGTACAATGAGGAGCAGTTTAGCAGAGCTACCAAACCATGGCAGGAATTTGGCTTCACACAGGCTTTCTTAGAATCACAGAATCATTAAGTTTGGAAAAGTCTTCTAAGATTACCAGTCATCATCCCTTCACCACCATGCCTACAAACCCATGCCCATAAGTGCCACATCTGCATGTTGTTTAAGACTTCATACCTAAGGGGAGTGTGGTGAATGTGTTGATGTTCTGGGTCTTTCAGGAGGTGTGAGTAATCTAATATGTCAAGGTAAACTTTTTTCTTTTTAAGCAAGCAATTAGAGGTGAGCTACTTCACTTCCAATTTCACCTCTTTTTTATCCTTGTTCTTCAGTTGGCTTCCAAACAAATGGGGGATATTAGGGGAGGAAATGCAGGGATGTGATGCAGATATTCCTTTGCTGGGCATCATATCATAGCACATCTCATTATCAAAAGACTTAGGTAGCTCCACAACCTGATGCACTTCCAGGGCTGACTTAAGAGTACTGGAAATCTAGCTGTGACTTCAAAGGGCAATGTTTAGCTAACATTCCATTTCAGGCTGGCACAGAAACACAGAGAGGTTGTGTTTCTTGATGGAAGGACTTACACATTTATCACTTTGCACGCTACCAGGAGTGTTGGCTGGGGAAGGGCAGCAATGGAGATCTGGTTCCTTGCTTGCAGAAGTCATTAGCTTGCTGCCAGCCCCTTCTTGCTGAGAGAAGAAAATCGTGACTGCTTCCCCTCCAGATAGCTCACTTTCCTTTTCCCTTCCCCTTCTTTGTCATCCTTCCCAATAAGTAAAGGCATTTTCAACAATCAACCTCAACCCCAGCCACCCGGTGCCCCCATCCCATAGGATGCCCCTCACTGGGGTCATAGGAACTGCTCCAGTGCCCACCAACTGCTGCTCCTCTGATCTTGGTCCCCTTCAAGCCCTGCTGATTGCACACCCAAATTGCTACAGCTGGCTGCTTTGCTTCAGTATCCTATAATCAGAAAACACGCAATACAGAGCACTGCTGTAAGTTTTCAACCTTACTGAGAACCTCCTAAGCAGACCTTCCTTTTTACCTCACAGAGATTCTTTGCTAACTGCAAAAAAGTCTTCTTACGAGTCACTTTTCACTCTTCAAACATCAGTACTCCCAGGCATGCCTAAGGGTGATGGTTCTCCTCTGTGTCAGATCTGGAGATCTGACTAGGCTGTTGCACATTTATTATAAGCATTTGCTTTCTCCTGTTTTTGTACAGGCTCCTTGGTCAACCTAAACTTCTCAGAACAAAATATGCCATTGGTACACGTTTCAGGTTTGGTGGTGGCTCCTCACTTACCCTTCTCTCCAGAAGAGTCCTCAGGTGCAGAGTGCTTTTTCTCCCAACTTTGGATTACAGAAGGACACAGGGCTCAGCCTGGTCCCTGTGTAAAGTCCTGCTCTGTTCATTTGTCTTCTCTGCTCTTCACACCCCATATTCTCTGGCGCAGCATGGGTCTGAGGAGGTCTGAAGGTTTTGGAGAGAGGTGAATTATAGAATCATTAAGACAGAAAAAGACCGTTACAATCATCTAGAACAACTGTCAATACATCATCCACGCCCATCCACCATGTCCTTCAGTGAAGAGCTGTCTTACTGCAATAACCACCTCAGCTAGAGATGGCACTGCAAAAGAGCTTTGCACCACCCTGTGCATACACTGAGATTCATTGTGGTCATTGGCAATTGCTAAAATACCGGTTCTGTGCTCAAGTGAGTCACCTGAAGCTTCCTAACACTGAGTCTCATCAAGATATCCCAAGCAGATTGTCACAAACTTATAATATTTCCACATCCCTGGGGGGTAAAATGATTTATCTGCTGATGCGACCACATGCAGAACTAGAAATTACTGCCTGACTTCAGAATTTTGATGCAATAAAATGAAAGAACTCTAAAAGTAATCCGCATGACAAAATGGATAGCCTTTAAGGGCAGAAGGAATCCTTACCTCATCTAATCTAATCTTGCAGAGAGCAAATGAAAGGCTGCAATGAGGTCACCCCACAGCCTTCTTTTCTCCAGGCTGAACAAGCCCAACTCCCTCAGCCTGTCTTCATAGGGGAGGTGCTCCAGCCTTCTGATTACCTTTGTGGCCCTCCTCTGGACCCTCTCCAACAGCTCCCTGTATTTCTTGTACTGGGGGCTCCACACCTGGACACAGTACTCCAGATGGGGCTTCACAAGGGCAGAGTAGAGAGGGATAATCACCTCCCTGTCCCTGCTGGCCACCCCTCTTCTGATGGAGCCCAGGATACCATTTGCTTTATGAGCTGCAAGAGCGCACTGCTGGCTCATGTTAAGTTTTTCATTCACTGGTACCCCCAGGTCCTTCTCTGCAGGGCTGCTCTCAAGGACTGCTCCTTCCAGTCTGTATAAATGCCTGGGATTCCTCTGGCCCAAGTGCAAAACCTTGCACTTTGCTGTGTTAAACCTCATTAGGTTCACGTGTGCCCACCTTTCCAGCCTGTCGAGGTCCCTCTGAATGGCATCCCTTCCTTCCACCGTGTCAACCGCGCCACTCAGCTTGGTGTCATCAGCAAACTTGCTGAGGGTGCACTCGATTCCATCATCGATATCACTGATAAAATTGTTAAAGAGCACCAGTTATTACATTGAACTGCAAGGAGCTGAAAGCCATTTGTGCTTGGAAAGTAGCATATGTTTGACAGGAACGCAATTGCAGGTCCCCACCCCAAAGTAAGCCTTTGATATTGTGATGAAATGAGCTTTGTAAAATAGCAGCATGGTCTCCTCCTGTGAAGTAACAGATTAAATCTTGATCACCCTAATGTTGACTCAACTGTTAGCAGCCAAAATATTACTTGCTCAACACACTTACCTCAGTTATGATCTGCAGCAGGATGCTGTGGTTAGGGTGTCTCCAAAATAAAGTGGAGCATCACAATTTCCCCATTAAAAGAGAATTCTTCATCCTTACCAAAGGGCAAATTAGAAAATGGGCTTTCATGAATAGTTCAAACTAATTCAAATCTGCCCAAAGGGAAAACCCAGCTTGTCCTGTCCCATCTCATTCCAGCCCAGCCCTGGCTGTATGTTGCTGTCACCACCACAGTTGTGACTCCACACAGTGAGGCAGGTCAGCCTGTTAATCTGGCCGAAAAACAACCCAGCTCTCTTCCTCTCATGAACTGCCTGTATTTCTGCACACCAAAACCAAAGGTAGATTTCCTGGGGAAAGAAAAGAGGTGATAACCCTCTCTCCATTACTACCACCCAGTGTAACATGAATTTAATGAGTCATGCAATGCTAATGACTGTTCTCATTGCAGCTGTGTCCTCCTCCATCATGCACATTATAAGGGCTGTTCCTGCCTCTGAGGTTTCAATATATCCTCAGAGGCAGAGATGTCTTTCTCCAGATGCTATTTCTGTGGTCTGTATTTTTCCATGCTCCATGCTGCATTGCATGCTGTGCTCACCTGCACTTGCACAGAAGGGGTTGAAACAAATTACAGGGAAGGAACATGCTGCAAATGGGGGATGTGACAAAGCTCTTCTGTAGGGCTGTGCATGCTGTTTGCATCTTGTTAAAGCAGAATGTTTTTGGATCATATTTTTATCAACACCTCTGATGATTAAAGATGGAGGTTTTTTTTTTTCATTTTCCCAACTTGTGCCAGCAGAAAAGTGCAGCCTTTCTCACTTTGGTGCCAGGCATCCAGAGAGTCTAAGCCATTGTTGCTGCAGTTGCTCTTTCTCCATGCCCTGCACATGTCCCATCAGATTGCTCCCAGATAGTCACTGGGACTTTTCCACTTGACAAATCCCAGATGGAAATATGGGAGCCCTAATTCTGGGCCACCCAGAACTGTAGTGACAGGTCTACAGCAAAACAAAAGAGCAGACAGAATGCTTGAGGCCTGTTTGTGTCTACCATGAAGCTCTGGTTTATCAGAGGTAAGCAGTGGCCTGAACTGTACGGCACAGCATGGAAGCTTAATTCATAGCTTTTATGTTGAACACTGCTACAAAGAGCACTTTTCTGCAGTAAAATTGCATCAGTTCACGTTCCTGGAGAGGCTGAGACCTCTTCCACACACCTTTTATTGTTGTTCTGAATCCAACACAAAGCTGATTCAGATCAGGTTTTCCTCTGTTCAGAAAGCTTTACTGCAAGCTTTCTGTACGAATTTTTCACTAGACAATGCATTTATTGTCTGAATTGTTAAAGCTGTGCTGCTGATAAAGATCTCATCCCTCCTCCTCTGAAAGCTCTACCAAGGTTCAACGGAAACAAGAGCAAAGAGACCTCTGCCATTTTTCTCCTAGCTGGCCCATCCTATGGTTGGGGTTCCAGGAAATGGTTCAAGAGGGTCTTTCCAACTCAGCATACCCACATGCCACTGCTGTGTGCAGGGATTTGGTCTGCAAGGTCCCTCTCCGTCCCACCTCTGACCAATCACACAATGTCACTCATCTGTTCCTTCCAACACATAGGAAACTTTTTTTTACAAGACTGGCATCTCACTGATCTTTTGATGACTTACACCAATCTGGGCTTTCTCAGGCTCTGTAAAATCAGGGCAGTCTTCAAAATGGGAATGAGAGAAAAAGTTGGGGAAAGTAAACAATGGCATTAAAATTATATGCACCCAATCCTGTCTTCTTACTGCCATTTTCCAAGAATGCAAGAGTTTCTCCTGCACAGGTTGGGTGCCCACAGGCCTCAGCTCATCTCCTGCTTTTTGTCAACAGCAGAGAATTCACTTTTTCACTTTTTAGGGAAATGGGGACACTTACAGAAGTCGTTTTGGTTCCCAACTTTCACAAGGAGAACACAGCAGACTAGAAAAGGTTTTATGCATAACAAAATAATAGATTTAAAGCAAATCACCCTGAAGGCAAAAGCACAGGGACCTTCTTCTGAATGACTAATTTAAGGCCAATAAATTACTATACTTATTATTTTAATAGCCAAGTACCACTCATGAAAGAAAAACACTTGACTTGCAAAGACATTTCTCTCAAAGTTTTGAATTCGCATGACTAATTTGTTCTTTTGAGCAGACCAAATCAGACATACATCCGAGTCCAGTTTACAGCACACAACACTTTTTCCACAGTGCAGTTCAATCCCAGTGTTTTGGCACTGCTAGACAGTAATGATTGCAGAAGTGAAGATGAAGAATGACCAGAGTCTGCAGAATGCTCTTTACCCTGCAAGTCTGGTGACTCGCACAGACCAGACAGATGTATGTATTTCCCCTGCAGAGGTCACATATCTTTAGCTCGCAGACAGCTTGTGAGACGTAGAAGCTCTGAGATGAAAGTAACCGGAGACTTTTAAAGGTTGATTCTGGTATCTAGCTCTGATTTTCGTAGTATTTTAAGAATAGCACATCACTGGAAGCATCCCCTACCTCTAGACCTTGAACACAAAAACAATGCAGAAGAGTGTGGTAGGGCAGTGCAGTGACAGGGAGGACACTTGTAGTGATCCCCTGCTGCTCAGGTTTGGACCTTGGAAAGCTCCAAATGAGGTGTTCAAAGCCAAAGAGGTCGAGTGGGGCTGGGAGATATAAAGGCAGATTCAGTGCGCCCCAGGGCCAAAGAGAAGATACCTACAAGGGGATGGTTAGTTCTGAAGAGAGGAGAGATGAAGCACTGAAATAGTGAGAGGAGAGGGAGGCAAAGGTGTTTTTGTTAGAGTTTTACAGCCAACACCTCAGAACGCAGCACAGCAGGGGTGTTGTGTGACTGCCTGGGCAAAACTGCTGGGAACCCTGGAAAATAGGAAACTGTGGTGGTGTCTGTGCAGACAATGGGCTTGTACCTGGCACATTTGAAACATGATGCTGGGACTTGTAACCCACACAGGAGAGCTAGGAAGGCATGTTCACTCCCCATCCTTTGCTCTACTCTGGATAAACTTACTTGGGAAAGCCCAAAGGAGGTTTCTTATGGGTAGATGTGGCTGGAGGGCAGCATGCAAAGATCCAGAGGCACTGAACATCTCTGTCCCTTTCTGGCTCAGATTGCAGGACGCAGGCATTCTTCTCTGCCACCTCTGCTGCTGCCTGAGGAAGATCAGCTAAGTGTTACAAAGAGAAAAAAGCTAAGAAAGATCTCTCAACTGCTCCCCTGATGCACGGAAGCACAGTGATAGCTGCAAGCAACTTTAGTTTTTGCCTTCTGGAAAAGATCATTATGGGAAACGATAACATTCCTTCACAATTTTAAAGCCATCAGAAGGTACTGAAGGGGAAGGACAGTGCTGCAGAATACAAGTTTTTCTTTTGTCTTCTGATTGCCTAGAATCATATAATCATTAAGGTTGGAAAAGACATCTGAGATCATCCAGTCCAACTGCCAACCCATGCCCACCGTACCCACTAACCGTGTCCCTCAGTGCCACATCTGCCCTTTTCTTGAACACCTCCAAGGACAGTGACTCCACCACTTCCCTGGGCAGCCTGTGCCAATGCCTCGTCACTCTTCTGTGAAGAAATTTGTCCTAATGTCCAAACTGGGGAGATCCTCTAAGAAAAACAATCAAAAAGCAGGATTAGCAGCTAACTCATCTGCTCTTCACATGAATAGTTGTGTATGCGAGGTCCTGTAGCAGCTTAATTCTTGACAGTGGCAAAACTTCTGATTTAGCTTTTCTAACAGAAAACTGTGTTTTTTGGGATAAGCTACCCCAAATCACCTGTTGGGGGAAATGCATCTCTGAAACGTATCAGTCCCCAACCAAAGGGAGAAGTGAAATTTTGCTCCCCTCCACCCATTTCCTCCCCTTTAATAGCAATGTGAAGCACAGGAAGGAGAAGGAAGGCATTTTTTTGCCCTTAAAATAAACTCCAATTGAGAAATAAGAGAGAACCTCAGCTTTGTCACCACCTCTCTCTCCTGCCCGACCAGCTCTGCTCACAAAGACCATTCTTACCCAACACCAGTACTGCTAACCCAGGAAGTCTGTTCACTTGAGGGGGATGAAGGTGGTTTGTTGCCCATTGGCAGGGTATATTAGCAGGCTGTGGGGCTGTCCCTGTGTCATAAATCCCCCGTGCTTCCTTCATTGATTAGTAAGCACAGGAGTATCATGGTAGGAGACAGAACCAGTATCCCACCTTTCATTTCATGCCTGCAGCTGATACAAGTCTAAAAACTTTCACCCTACTTCCTGCAATAGGGCTGCACCAAAGGGAGCTTTTTAGAGAAAGCAGAGGTGGGAGCGGGTCCAGTGTGGCCATGGAACAGGTCAGGAAGCTCCTTGAAGGACAGTTCATCTCTGCAAATCTGGAGAATCTGTGCCAGGGTGTGAGAAGCCTGAGATCAGGCAGGTACAGCCCTGCTATGAGACCTTTCCTAGTTCTGGGTGTTCGGCTTTGACCACGGAAACCAGGAACTTCAGCTTTCTCAATCTTTATTGCAAAGCCCCTTGCAGGATTGCACAACTGCCTCATGGCTCAGTCATCTGCCAACACTGCCACATGAAATGCAGATATATGTAAAAGGGTTTAATGAGGATCTTC